ATGTTTTAATGTGGAATATTAATGATGGTGAAAAAATGCAGAACATACATCTTCAAAATATACATGAATATATTTTTTTTCTTAGAGAAGAATGTTAATACATATTCTATATAAAATTTTCCTCACTTTCTTATAAGAAATATTGTTTGTTCAGATAAATGCCTTGCAACGAAATACTTATCGTTTATCATTATCACAGTAAAAATGCATTCGAGGAAATCCAGCAGCAGTGAATGGAGAGCAAGTCCATTGCACAAGAATAAAAGTCATATTTGATTAATTTCCAGGTATTCAATCACTTAATTGATGCAAACATAGCCGAAGGTAGAAGAAACAAAGGTTCATCGCTGACTTATTCACAATTTAGCATTTCTTATTGAAATGGAGACCTGGATGGCCTATTCTTGCAATTTTGTCACTGAATTCATATTTTTAAGTTAAATGGGTTAGAAATGGGGTGGGAATTCAGCCAGAAAACACATTTTCACTCTGTGTTATTTTTACCAAGAGCAAATTCTCCTTAAGGTACTGCTTACTTGCTCCTTCCTTCCTTCCTTCCTTCCTTCCTTCCTTCCTTCCTTCCTTCCTTCCTTCCTTCCTTCCTTCCTTCCTTCCTTCCTTCCTTCCTTCCTTCCTATTCCTCAACAGTGTCTGAAATGAGTGAGATGTCTTAGCATGACTTACCATGTCATTTTAGGCACTATATATTCTTTCCTCATCTTCAGCAGACTCTACAGATAGAAGTGAGTCTCTAGAAGACTTTACATCAGATCTGCCAGTGCTGTGTGGATGTCTTGGATACCTTGATGCCGCTGAAATGAAACTGAGATATCTATGCTTGCACAACCAAATCCTCTTTAATTTCTGCACTTGAAGATGGATATTTATTAATGAAGTATACATCTAACTCACCATTTAGTCAAATGATATCTAGTAAATAACAGCAAAGGTCTACTGAGATTCTTACAGTTACAGATCACATGACCACTGAAGAGAGGTTGAAGGACTTGAATGAGAAAAGACAAGCAATCTAAAGAATGAGAAAGGACAAGCTGTTATGAAGTCTACTGGGCCCTTCATTACATCCTGGAGGGCAGTGTGCCCTGGACTTTACATTCAGAGAGGACCCAGGATATGCAGACTGTAGTTTATTTCACTTACGCAGGCACAGGCATTTCATTCAACTTATCTCAGATACCTGAATTAAGATTCAATTATCCTCTGACTCTGTCCAGTTTTTTTCTTATCTCCACCTCACTGAGGGGGAGGAGTGAGAGAACGACCTCGTGGTAGCTTAGCTGCTGGCTGGGCTGAACCATGACAGGGCCCCAGAGCTGAACACAGTGCTCCCAGTGAGGTCTCACAAGAGTGAAGTAGGTGGGTAGAATCACCTCCCTCGACCTGCTGGCCACACTTCTTTTGGTGCAGCCAAGGATATGATTGGTTTTCTGGGCTGTGGGTGCACATTGCTGGCTCATATTCAGTTTTTCATTCACCAGTACCCTCAAGTCCTCTGCAGAGCTGCTCTCAACCCACTCATTGCCCAGCCTGTATCCATGTTTGTGATTGCTCTGACCCAGGTGCAGGACCTCGCACTTGGCCCTGTTGAACTCTATGAGGTTCACACAGGCCCACCTCTCCAGCCTGTGAAGGGCCCTCCAGATGGCTTCTCTTCCCTCTAGAGTATCAACCACTCAGCTTCCTGTCATCCACAAACTTGCTGAGGGTGCACTCAATGCCACTGTCCGTATTGACGACAAAGATGTTAAACAGCACCAGCCTCAATACTGACCTCTGAGAGACACAACTTGTCACTGGTCTCCACTTGGACGTTGAGCCATTGACCGCAACTCTTTGAGTGCAACCGTTCAGCCAATGCTTTATCCACTGAGTGGTCCACCCATCAGATCCGTGTCTCTCCATTTTAGAGACAAGGACACCGTGTGGGACAGTATCAAATGCTTTGCACAAGTCAGCCCCTTACTCAGAGAAAAATCAAAGACATATGAGAAACTCACTGTTTTTGGCTGTGGAAGGTGCTGGGAAACTGTAGCCATGAAGATACAGATGACAGCTCAGAAGCACAGAGCTCTTGGGAGTTTGGGACCTATGTCACTTGTAATCACTGGCCTGTGCAATGGAGGTTGTCTATTAGATCAGATGATGGAGGAATATCTTGAGCAATGGCCCAATTCTCTCAAACCTGTGAAAGAGAGACATTGTGGAAGGACTGGGAAGAAGGTGACAATTTATTACAGGTGCTTGGGCTGCTGGAGTATGGGCTGCTGAAATGTGTTAACAGCTGAGGAAAGAGCCTGTGAAGGTCATGATCACTGATACAATTGCCTAAAAGCTCCAGTGATGAGTGACATCATCTACCTGGACTTGTGCAAAGCATTTGACACAGTGTCAAAATCTAAATTGAATGGCTCAACAGTAGCAGAAGACACTCTCTCCCACAAAATGTAAAATTAACAAGATAAAAACACAACTCCCCCCCAAAAAAAGAAACAGAAAAAGCCCATCTTTATCCTTCTCCCATCCCCCACGCCCATCTCTGTCTTAATAGGTTGGAGTGTTCAATTTTCTAAGACATATTTGTCTCAAATTCCCACAAGTAGCTTCTACCTTTTAGAAATACCATGAACAAACTGAAGTCTCAAAAAGGGGGTGATAGTAAGCCTAAGTACTCTTAGAGGCATGCGGAGGCTTACTGAAATTCAGTCTTTTATTCTTAAACACAGGAGTGCATTGGAAGAGCTAATTGAGGATCTCTGCTGCTGTGTTCTTATGTGCAGAGTCCTGGCATCATTCAGTAAAACATAGTTAGGTCCTACCAGGAGCATGCCTAATGCAACTTTGCCTCTCTTGCAAAGGTTTGAAACCTGCTGTTCATCCTTCTGGATAGTCCATAGCCAATGATAACCAGACTTTCCTTGGAAATAAGACTACCTACTATAACATATCCTTTACTGAGATCCATTAGTGCCAAGTGCTGAAGAAAACAAACACACAAAACAAACTGTGTTTATACTTACTAGCAGGTAAGAAAATAAATTATCCCTTAAGTTCCCCCTTTAAGAAAAGCAAAACCATACAGTTAAAACTAATTTTTCTGTCTTTTCTGCACTGCAGCTCAGCTTTAGCAGGATGCCTGGGGAACACCATATCCCCACCTCCCACTTACACAGTACCATAACAGTAAGGGCACTACAGATTTCAATCTCCTCAGCATGAAAATGTTGAGAACTCATCTCTATTGCAGTCTTGACTGTTTCTCAAGTGTTGCTTAAACAAGGTCATGACTATCCCTTTCTCTGCTTGTGGTTTTAACAACTGCATTTTCTGTAGCTTTTTTCTCTAAAGATTTTTTATGTTTCTGTCATATTCTATGAATATAGCTTAGATTGGCTGTTCTATGGCCTTTTTAATAGGGTATATCACCAGAGAGAAAAAGACACAGTATTCTGTTAGACCCTGATCCTAAATTAAGAATTTAAACTAGAACAGATGACCTATTCTCAAGAATTGCCTGTTTCTCTTCAGTATCTAGAGAAAAAGGACGGCTAACTAAAACGCTGTCTTTACTGCATTTTTCTAGAATTAGGAGTGTTGCAAAGGTGCGGAAGGGAGGGCAGTATGAGAGATGAGGAGAGCAGGGAAGGCCTCTTCCACAGATGTCACTCAGGGCAGGAGGAGGATCACAAAAGATTCAAGTGGACTCCTCTTCCTGGGGCAAATGGCGTGACAGTAGGCAGGCCATCCCTGCAACACCTGAGAAGGGCAAGGGCAGCCCATTTCCATTGAGCACAGTCCAAGGCCAACCTCCAGCACACTGTGGGCACCTCTGCCACCTACCCAATTATGCAAGAAGTTCTCATTAGGGTCTGAGCAAAGAGTTCTCACACGTGCACGTGCACACAAGCATACATGTGCATGCATTCACACAAATGTGCACACATGTACACTCAGAGTCCACTGGAAATCTGGTTGTTCTGTGGAGCTTCTTGGTCCTCAGGACATCCTGGCAGAAGGCTAGCACTGGAGATGACTGACAGAGACTATTATTTCAGGATGGTGGTTGTACCATCTGGACTGCAAAAGAAGGCAGCTCATAGAACTGCACTCCTGCTTGTCTCTAGTATTTGTCCCTAAAAGGCAACAAGCAAAACTCAGTGGAGATGACTCCCATGAGACCCTTTTCTCCCACTCATCATGATCATGTTTTTGTTTAAGCAAACACACCAAATACCAAATTTTAGTCCCACTCACTCTTGGAAGACTAAATGATGCGTCTTGATCTCTGGAGTCTGCTGAAAGAAAAGAAAGATGTTTATGAGACAAGAGAACCTCGGGAAATCTCGCCCAGGTTCTCTGCATTGCCGGCTGAAATGGCACATACAGACTGATGCCACACTTACATATGGGCATTTACGGACCTAAAGCATTAACTGGTCATGTAGGAGACTGTGTTCAGATTCCTACTCTCTCAGACAAAGCTAGAGCTGATTTCCTCCCCCCTTCCAAATGACAGAAGATGAGTGATTTTAAGGTCCTGGAGTCATTTATCTGTGAGTACTTGTATGAGATTCTCAGGAACTTCTCCAAAAAAACTTTATTCATGGCATTAAGAACTAGTAATGGAGAGATGCAAACTACGAATGACACTATGGCTCAAGTGACAAGAAACCTGTCCAAGACACATTGCAGTCTCTGCTACTGTGATGGTACTCTATGAAACATTAACTATTTTTTTTTTTAATTGAAACTTCTTTTTCCATCAGAAAATGCAAGGTGGTATATCATGAATCTTGAAGTGGTAAGATTCATATACACTCATACTGGACAGAAGAAACACAAAATCTCAAAGTAGAATTTGAGATGCATGTATTTTTCAAATGTTCCAAGTTATCAGGGTGCTTAAAAAAAGTCAAGAGTGAAAGAAACAAAAAATCTAAGTATACAGAGGAGAAGAAAAATTCCTTTCAAGCAGAATAAGTTTATATCTTCCTCAGCTCAGCTATGATTTTGATTAGTACTCCTTTCACTTCTTTATTTCTCAGGCTGTAAATCAGGGGGTTTAATGTAGGAATTATGGTTGTGTATATGAGAGCCAGGACTTTCTTAGTGTCTTGGGAGTACCTGGCTTTGGGCCGTAAGTAAATCAAGATCCCACTTCCACAGTACAATGATACAACAATAAGATGTGAGGAACAGGTGGAGAAGGTCTTGCATCTACCCTCTGCAGAGGACATCTTCAGGATGCTGGAGATAATGCAGGCATAGGATACCAGAATGAGACAAAATGGTGTAAAGATGACCAGTGCTGTGGCTACAATGATCTGCTTTTCATACACAGAGGTGTCAGTGCAGGACAGCATAATGAGTGGGGGAATATCGCAGAAGAAGTAGTTGATCATCTTGGGCCCACAAAATGTCAGTGTGAACACCCAAGCTGTCTGCACCACAGACACGATGTTACCACTGCAGCATGACAGCAGGACTAAGACAAGACAAAGTCGGCGGCTCATGATGATTGCATATCTAAGGGGGTTGCATATGGCCACGTAACGGTCATAGGCCATGGCTGCCAAAAGGTACCATTCAGTGGCTGCTAAGAAAACCACACAGTACAGCTGTGTGGCACAGCCCATGTAGGAAATGCTTTTGTCCTCTGACAAGAAGTTTACCAGCATCTTGGGAACAACGATTGACGCTGTGGAAATATCCAGGAAGGACAAGACTCGTAGGAAGAAGTACATGGGCATGTGGAGGCTGGGATGCACTGTGACCATGAAGATGAGAACATTCCCAATGATGGTGATGGTGTAAATTAAGCAGAATGTGAAGAATAACAAATGCTGCAGTTCTGTGTGGCTGGACAATCCAGAGAGGACAAATTCAGTCAGCAGAGTACGGTTTCCTGGCTCTGGTCCTTCTGTTGGCTTCATCTGAGAGGAATCAAACAGACACACTGCCAGAAGAGTAGTTACTGCCCCAAAAATATGGTGCTTCAGGCAGTCGCTGAAGCAAGGA